ACCTCCACCATTTCGTTTTCGGCGCTGCCAGTGCATGAAGAGTGGAATTTGCTTAAGATGATTTTCGTCTACTTCTTTCAATTTCACCATGCAACATCACATAAAACATCAAATCGAGCAGGCGGTGAAAATACATACTTGATCTCGACAAACAGACAGGTATCCCGCAGGAAATTATAGCCATCGCGCTGATGGCACTGGCTATGAGAGTATGCAGAAGATGATAAAAACAAGTGGCGCTGCAATGCACGAGCACCATTTGCAGATGTATAGTGCTCCTCTGCTGGCGGACATAAGTAGTCACGGACGAGATTCACACTCCGACACTTTTTCTTTCTGCGAGTATACCACAACTTTATTCCACCAGAAAGTGAAGATAGCGGTGTTTGGAAAAAAAGGAGGGACTATCGCACACAAGGAATTCATGCCATGCGCGGCACCGAGCCCTTTGATCCGCAGGGCGGCTCATCATGGGCGGCGGGTATCAATAGAACGAGAAGCGCTGGTGTAAAGAAAACCATCGGAAAAGTGAAAAATAGAATTAGAAATACGTTTTCTACACGTACTCGAAAAAGTAAAGGTAAAGGAAAACACGCTTCGCCGATGAAGAGGGGCCAGCCACTGGACCAGCGTCGCTCGACAAGAAGCAGCAGTTTCGTTGAGAAAAGCAAAGAACAAAATGAAACCACTAAGAACAAGTAGAAGAAGCTAGCAAGCGATATAATCATACATCATGATCGTATTTGAGTGATGTAGTGGTAGACGTTACGTGCGACGTATTTTATCATCAAAAAATAATAAGCCAAAAGATAAAGACTTTTTGATCGATGTGATGTGCTGCTGCGTTTTCAAAATGGATCGACCGCCACAGCGAAGTAGACGACAACACTCAAAGTGATACAACTGCCACTCGTTCTCTATCTCTGTCAGCCATTCAGATCTACTTTGAGTAACCTCCTAAGAAAGCACATTTAGCAGCTAGGGAAATATTCTTATGGTGTCCTGCTTCTTCGACGCAGGCGCAGCTTTGATTTTGTGTCTCCAGGAGCTGTTGACGTTCCAGTAGGTACTTTCGTTTGTGCTTGAGATGCGCCGTATCAACATCAAGCCCTCCTCTCCCTGCAAGAAGACAGAGAATCCGAAAAGAAGAAAACAGCTTTTCCCTGTAGTAAACAGGCTTTCTTAAGAAACTACTTTTGAGCTTTCGTACAACTTTCGAATCTCTTTCAGAGTCCCTTGGAGCAAGCAACTTCTCATCCAAAAGCAGTCGGCTGCACCCCACGTTTTCGTCAGCAATGGCAACTTTTAAGCTTTAATTTGATATTTACGCTTTTAACTTATCCTTTTTACAGCACCCGTTTTTCTTTTTTCAGGCGGAAGTGCAAAGTCACTCAGGCGCAAGTGCTTCTGACCCGGAAACCATGACCCGGAAGTTCATCACGCTTCCACTCATAAAATTACAAACAAAAATAACCAAAGATGAAGATTTAAAAATTAAATTCGTAGGCGGCAAATAATTTTAATCACCTTTATTCCCGATCTGGCATGATGAACATGTGCGCGCGCAGGTCAGGGGCCCAGTTTCTGGAACCAGTGAACCGGACGAGAGGGAGTCGCGTACTCCTGGATTTTTCACAAGTATGCAGATGAACTACTTATTAAAGATAAAGATAA